AACAAATATTGGAAATTTACGAAGACATTTAAGAAGACATTGCACAAAAATCCTGAGTCGAGATGAGTAAGTACACAATCAAAAAATTATAAAAATACCAAAGATTATAAAATATATGTAATGACAAAACAATCAATAGATAAAGAAAATTGAGCGAATAAGAGTTTTTATCGAGGCATCCATATAATATTTATTTGCAATTCTGATCATAAATCTCTCTCGTATCTCTCAAATCGTAATAATGATTATTTTTTAATTATTTTGCAAATATAATTTAAATAGATATGAATCGCTTATTTTCACGTTTTTTCATACATCATAGATATAAATAATTCAGAAATTTAGATTAAATATTTATTTATTTGACATTTATTAGTATTGCAGAAATTCGAGGTAGATGTATTATATATATTCGATAAAATGTACGATTTATACATGGTTCTTATAGATATTTAAATAGAATAGCTCTATTTAATAAAATCTATATAGGACAACTTTCAAATCTGCCATCCACTGATTACGTAGATGAATAATAGTTAATAAATTAATAATAATTAATAAAAGTTTCTGTTAGACAACAATCAACCGTTTTTTGTAGTATTTGAATACACGTTGTAGGCCTACAAATGTCAGCATAATGATATTAATTATTCGTTACCCTTGAGATTATTATTAAATATATAGCACCAACCTAATTTATTCTGACATTATCTACAATTTTTCGTGAAGACATTTTATCATTTTCGACCGTTATAATTGATGACCGTATTCGTCTTATGTTTAAACGCATACTCATATTAACTCGTTAACTGCTTTAGACGTTTTTCAAAAACGTCATTGTAACGTACAAAATATCATAAGTTTAATTAAAGAGATACACCATTTTACGATCTCAGGACAGGATTTTGGTAAACTAATATAATATTATTCGTGTGATTTTATGTACATTTCTTCATCTCATCTAAAGCTAGAATAGATCAATTACGTTAAAATAGCGTTTCACCCTAACTCAATTTTATATCATATCGTGTTTCACTTTTCTATTAATCACAAATTCAATCTAGACATTAATTATTTGACATTAGCATTAAAGACATTCGAGGTATAAAACTATCTCTCCCTATCTTTTTCTTTTTCTTCCTTCTACTCATTCTCACTTACAAAACTTCACTCCATTAGCGGTTTACCGCCAACAAGTACATAATAGCATTAAACAATATGTACACTTGTAGTATTTTAATAATTATTACTTTTTCTATTTTTAATCACACCACTATTTTATACAGACCAAGCACTTCAAGTTTAGCGGATGATATTATGGATCCCTCTGCACACCGTCAAAATCAAGAGACATCTGGTTTGCTCGTTCAATCATTTATGAAAGAAACGACAGAAAAAACAGACGCACTTAATGAGTAATTATTTTCTTATATCACGCAATATAATAATGTCTTGTTATTTAAATTTTTACTCTTTTGCAAAAGAGTGATTTATAATATTACTTTAAATAATTCTATATCTAATTGCACCGTATATTTTAATGCAGACCAAGCACCTTAAGTTCAACGGCTTATATTATGGATCCTTCTACAGGAAAATATATTCCTCTGCGTCAAAGTCAAGAACAAGTACCATCTGGTTTACACGTTCAATCATTCAAAGAAACGGCAGAAAATACAGGAGTACTTGATGAGTAATTATTCGTTTAGTTTATATAGTACTAGCTTTTTCGCTTTTCCTTCAATAGCTCTTCCTTCTTTCCCCGAATAGTAATATTTATCCCCAAAAATTTCTTTTTGGAAAAAGGGACCTTTTTTTAGACAATTTTGTATGGAGGCTCTTTGTCCTCAGGTTCAGACCCTTTCCCAAAACCCTCTACGGTCTAACTTAGAGTATCATGAGATAGTATACCAAATTTAGTTGTTCTAATTTGAAAACTGTGAAAGTAGAATAATAATATCACAAATTAAATTGATCATCAAATTCTAAACGCAATTGATGCTAATAAACATTCTTTCTCAGCAGACCATTTCCCCTCGCTTTGACCTCTTTCCAAAACCCTCTATGGGCTAATTTATTAGATGATGTTTTTTTTCTGAATAGTAATATTTACCCCAAAAAAATGTTTTTTTGAAAAAAAGAGACCTTTTTTAGACAATTTTGTATGAGGGCCCTTTTTTATTTTATTTTCTTTTTATTTTTATTTTCTTATATTAATTTATTCTTTGTCGACACCATCTCCGAAAATTTAGACAAATTTTGGTACCGGTATCCAGAAAATCAGTCCATTAATGAATTAGTAGTTCGCGGTCAGACAGACAGACATTAGAAAAATTGATTTGAAACCGGTTTCCCAAAAAAACATTTTCGTAAAAAATGAAACCATTCGCTGCCATGACGGAAAAATTAGATAAAATAAATAATTTTAACTCGTTTTCAAAAAAATCGATTTATTTCTGAAGGAGTATTTTGCAGTCTAAATATTTTTTAAAAAATTGAACACCGAAATCAGTCCACTAATGAAAAACCCATCAACACCATCTCCCAAAAATTAGACAAATTTTGGCACCGGTTTCCAGAAAATCAGTAATGATGCCGTTCTCAAAATACGTCTACGGTTTAAGTTAGAGTATCATGAGATAGTATATCAAATTTAGTTGTTCTAATTTGAAAACTGTAGATTTGCATAGCGGACAAACATATATACATTTCCACGGACATTTCTCAAAAAATTCAAAATTTTATAAAGGAAGAACCCTTTCACCGATTCTCGCCCAATTCAATACCAACTTACCTTTAATCTTTAATGATACTCTATCCATAAAAAAAAAATTAGCTTGAATCTCAAAATTTGCGGAAATCAGAACAATCACGTAGATTTTTTTAGACAAAAATTAGTAACTTCTTTATTATTAGCAATTTTTGGAATTCTATTATATTCCTCTGTTTTTTCTATCCCTATTTCATATATAATACTTTAAGGAGGTTCGATCATTACTTGTGAGTCAAAAATGCGATTGAAATAAATGTCATTACAGCTATCCCGAATTATTAGTATAATTGCAATATTATGAATGTATAATGAATTGTGGATGCTACTTACGTGTTATATTCTTCGTCAATTATTATTAGTGTATAGAATATTAACAAACATATACTGCGGTATGAGAGCGTCAACGACTCGGAAATCGCTTATTCTACGGTGGGACCTGAACTTTGTGACGATAAAGCCTTCAATCCACACGGTAAAGTCCGATTTTTAAAGTCTTTACACAATCCTTGATGTTTCATCTATCAAATGCTAGTTTTTCAAAGTCCTAGGAAAACTAAGTGTGTACTAAACCACTGATAATCTACCTCGGTGCGACTTTCTCAGAAAAGTGGTCAACTTCTGAATAATATTACAAAAAAACTATACAGTCAATATTGCTCAAGTTTTGCAATTATTTGTGTAAAGTGTTTATGTAAATCATATAAAAAAATTAAGGTTCTAAGTTAACTTTCGAGTATAGAAAGCTTATTGTCACAAAGTGACCGGTTCTAACAATGTTGGCCAAATAAGCAATTCCCGAGTCGTTGACGCTCTCATACCCCAGTATATGTTTTGTTAATATTCTATACACTAATAATTGACGAAGAATATAGCACGTAAGTAGCATCAACAATTCATTATACTAATATTGCATATAATTCGGGATCGCTGTAATGACATTTATTTTAAGCGCATTTTTTACTCACAAGTAACGATCGAACCTCCTTAAGATTTGGTTGATTAGGAAAATCTGAACAGAAAAAGTCATTAAGTACGACTCTTTTAAAGAATTAAAAATTTTAGATGTCCCGAATTTTTTTTCAAATTGGGTTGTAGCAGAATGGTACATAGCCTATGTTACTCAGGATGACATAAGCTATCCACCAGTGTAAAAATTTTTGAAATCGATTCAGTATTATAGTTTCTAAAATTACCCCGAACAATGGTACAAACTTTTCCCTTTTATATAATAGTAGAGATAATGTAATGGTAACCAAATAGTTAAATATTGATTTTTCTGCACAAGTATATTTTACAACTGTGATATTTTAAAAATAATTACTCTCTCCTTTTTATTTTTAATCACATCACGTTTCTACACAGACCGAGCACTTCAAGTTCAGCGAATTATGTTATGGGTCCTTCTGCAGAACATCAAAGTGGAGAACCATGTGGTTTTCCCGTTCAATCATTTGAACAAATGACAGAAGGAACAAGCGCACTTCATTCGGATTGGTTCTATTATACAATGTAATGATATCGAACTAGTTGAAATATTGACTTTTCTACATAAATGTAACTTACAACTGTGACATTTTAAATAATTATATTGTTTCTTTTTAATTTTTAATTACACTACATTTCTATGCAGACCAAGCGATTCAAGTTCAACGTATTATGTTATGGCTCCTTCTGCAGAACATCAAAGTGGAGAACAACCTGGTTTGCCTGTTCAATCATTTGAACAAGTGACAGAAGGAACAAGCGCACTTCATTCGTGTATTGGTTTTTATTATACAATGTAATAAGTACCCAACTAGTTAAATATTGATTTTTCTACACAAATATATAACGTACAAGTATGAAAATTTTTATCGTACTTTTTTACTTTTAATCACATCACATTTCTATGCAGACCAAGCAGCACTTTAACTTTAGCGGATTATAGTATGGATCCTTCCGTCAAAGTCAAGAATACCGTGTTTGCCTGTTCACTCATTTAAACAAATAACAGTAAGGAACAGTCGCACTTGATGAGTAATTTTACGTTTTGCTTATATCATACAATAAAATAATATCCCATCTAATATTCAAATATTTCTTTTTTCAAAGATAATTTTTAAATTTTAATTTACGCGAGCAATCACGACCAAAAAGATCGTTGATAACTTTATTGCTTATATTATTTAATCAAGGAGAATGTCTATTGTTATACTATACTATATAATTTTACGAAATGCAAAGAAAATGACCAATACGCGAAAAAAATAGACAAAGCTTCGATAAGGCATGGCAATGATCAAGCTGAAAAATGAAAATTACTTTCGATATATGTAATCTATATAATCGTATAAAATGTAAATAAAATGTAATAAAATTATCAATTGATTTGATATATATACAATATATACATAATATATGTATAACATATATATATAATAATTACAACATATAATGATATATTTACGAAAAATACGATGTAATACAATCATCTGTAAAAATTAGTATTATTTAAAATTTAAATTGGTATTTAATATAAAATACTTTTTAATATTTTAAATAATTTTTAATATAAAAATTAGTAGATATTATTAAATATACATTTAAGTTGTTATTATTAAAAATATAATAATAAAAAATAATTATATTTATTATTATTATATTAAAAATAATATTATTATTTTATCCACATCAATTTTGTCTATTGAATTATATCTCCTTGTCCCTGCCTACCCGAATCCCTACTTACCTACCCGTATTCCAATCTATATAGTCCTATAGCTATCCATTTTCCTACCTACCCGTGTTATAATCTATTATACAAAGTTTTTTAATTAAGATCGCGACACGATTTATAAGAGGTCTAATTTACTGGTTAATCCAGCGGGATATCTGAACGGGATATGGTCTCAAAGTGATACGATCACTTGAGATGTTTGAAATGTGGAGTTGGGGGCTTTAACACGCGCGCGATTGAGATTTACTTGCAGTTTTTCCAATCTCGCACGTATGCGAGAAAATATAAGGAAAAAAGAAAGTAGCCCTTTGGGACAAATAAAGAGATATATTAAACTATTTTATATGTTACCTTATTCCATCATAGTGGTCAGTGTTGACCACTTACCTTTATCGTATCTTGGCCATATACAATCTGGTTGCATTTTAACCAGATTAAAGGAAAGGAGAAAAATTCTTTCCATTTTTGGATCATTATCATTGCCGAAAGATAATATTACGTTCGATTCGAATTACGCGCGAGCCTCGATTGTATCAAAATTGTACAACAAGAAGTTAATTTAAAAAAATATATATATATTAATTTATAAAAACTAATTGCAACAACATTGAACATTGAAAAATGTTTCTATCACTAATTCCGTTATTTATTTAACAATATATTGAATAACCGTTTCTTTTTGTAACCCGTTCTTTTAATTTGGAATCGTAATCAAGTACAAAAAAAATTTTACTTCGCGTTATATGAATATCTCAATTATATCCTGCGAAAAATTGAAATTTTGTAATGTAGATAAAATTAAAAAATTAATATAATTAAAAATTTCTTGATGTAAAAACCGACCGCGAAGACCGACCGCAAAAATATGAAGATGCGTGATTGTGCATGTTGTTCATGCGGCACGCATCTTGAAAATGTATCAAGGCAAAATAAATGACGTGAGATCCGGAAAATAAACTTCCCGCACAATTGATATTAAATTGGATATTATTCATAATTAATCAATAATTGAGTTTTATAATTGAATAATATGCAAATCTCTTTATAAACTTACATATCGATATAAATATATTTCCTTATATTTTACATTTTCTACTAAAATTATTTTTGATATAACATATTCAGCGTTTCTCGGTAGAATATTAAAGATCTCACGTCATATATTAGTACAATACTTAACTAGCATAAAGTCAATTTTTTAATCAAAAATAGGTGGATAGGCTAAAAAAAATTAAGGTAAAATCGATGCTTTGTTAAAATAAATTTGAGTAATTAATCACGTTTTCTATAAAATAAACTGCATAATAAGACCAAAATATGTCTTACCCTTTTTATTCATACTTGTATTTATATGTATATGCATCATAAAATATTAAAATTCTAAATATATCTACATACGAGATATTGTTTCCTAGCATCAAATTATGTAATATTTAATCTTGGATAAATATAATATGGGAAGGAATAAAGGGGTATAAATAACATACATCCTAACTAATTCATAATTTTTCCCTATCTACAGATATATATATATATATTTTTTTATAACCACCTAACAAAATAGCTTACTTATTCTTACCTCTTTTATTAAAAAAATATCATTAAAAAATTTATTTAATAAAATTTAATAAAAATTTTATATTTCAAAAATCACTACTTTGTCATACTTTTTGTTTCTCTTGTGTTTCTAATATATTTATTACTCTGATTGTAAGTAAGAATTGATCTACGTAACAAAATTTCGAAAATTTAACCTATTATGTATCTTATACTAATTCAAATTCGCGAAATAAAATTCTAATACATTTCGATAAAATATTTTTTCATATATTTATTTCAGATTTAAAATTTTTATCAAAAATTACTTATATAAAACGCGACAATTCGTCAACATAATTCGATAAAGCTCTTTGCGAGCTCCGTGAGTACGAAGTGTGCAAGTATTTCCTCAAGCACAATCGTACATAATATCAATAAACCAGTGACATCAAGATTAAATATTCTCCATAATTAGTTTTAGCCCGTCCATTTTAAGGCAACAAATCTACAAGATGTAATATTTTATACTTTAGTTTTTATACTATAATTGTCATATATAATTCGATATGTACCGAAATACATTTACTCTATATTTGATTAATCGTATAGATTTGTTAACTCAATAAAAAAAATTCTGACTCACCGACTCGATGCGCAACGGGCGGAGTTATTCAGCAAAGCTACGGTGATACTGTAACATATACGAACATAATTGAAATTAAAGAAACATTTAAAATGATCAATATTTTAAAAGATAATTCTTATTTGCCTCTAATTTCTCTTTCAATGTAAAACTGATATTTAATAATTTACTAATATAATTATCTATTTTCCAAAAAAGATCTTTACAAAAGTAAAATTTTATATAATTTTTCTGTCTCTAATTATTTCTAACTAATCGAGATAAGACAATTCAAATAAATGGAAAAGAATTATTATGCAGATAAGAGATGATACTTACCCCAAGGTTGCTCCGCCGATGCCCGCGATGTCTTTCTCAGACCTCCTTTTCTTCTCAGGACGTCAGGCCTCCTCCTCTCGCCACACAGGACACTCGCGAGAAACACTCGCGGATAATAAACTACAATCGCGCGCGGACTAATTTCAGTAAAAGTCTTTCTCGCGCGATACTGTACGGCACTCCCGTTTAAAAAAGTCTTTTAGTCCGATTACTCGAACGGCACTTCCGAAGCAAACGCGACAAACCGGCTGTGGTTCGTTCATTCAATTAAATCGGCGGACGAGGGTACGTTAGCTTCCCCGTCTTTAGATTTTTATCCAAGCAGAACAAGAGTTTTGCTTGGGTAAAATCCTCGTACTGGGTACTGGGCCTTCCCACCTCGCCAAGGTCGTACCCATGGGAAGGAAGTACTTTACTGTGCGATATAAAAGCTATAATATATAAAATCAAGTTATATCGATTTTCTAACATAGATTGATAGATTTTTCGTACAAATTTGAAAGAATCTGCGACGCCGATTGCCTCGATTCGTGTTCCGCGTTCATTGCACTGCGTTGCAGTCGCGTTAATGGCGATGAAATGTTGGAAGATCTTGACGCGAATCAAGTGGACGGTTAGTAAAGACACGCTGATTAAACAAAACCACAATTATAAGATTACGTATCGTACGCACATTATGGTATCGAGCACGTAAATCTCGCGAATTAAGTACTATTATAATGTTTTGCACAACGAGGAGTTGCGAGTGGACCGTTAACTTACGCGGCACGAAATACACGAAAATAAGAAAAATATTCGTGAACGAGCGTTGTATCACAGCGTGCTATTACTTGAATCACGATACGATTTCACGATTGTCAGTCGGCCCTCTTTCCGCTCTTCGAAAAGAATAATCGACGATAATCGCACGACAATTCGGGCACAGCGCGTTCAATAGCACGACATAAGATATGCCGCGTAAATATATAATAAGAATTAAAAAAAGATATAAATTAATAAGTTAAACCAAGATTAAAGTGAAGTATGTTCCATGCAAGACTTGTGAGAGTTATTTCCAAGAGATCGTAAATTCTAAAAAAATGTTTACGGTCTCTTGATTGTAGGTAAAAACGTAAAAATTATAAGTATATAATAGGAATAAAAAAAGTTTTCAATCAACCATATATATAATAAAAAATAGTGAAAAGAATTTTTGACTTTCCCAGTAAAAGGATAAATATTCACAAAAAGGTAAAAGAATTTTATTTAATTAATAAAATATAATAATAATAATAATAATAATAATAATAATAATTATTATTATTATTATTATTATTATTATTATTATTATTTTATTTAATTTTATTTAATTAAGACCGTGATTTTACTACATATTTTCTTATTCGATTCGAAGTCGGAAGCTCTTTCTTGCGCATGTGTCGTCGGTCATCGTCGGTCACTATAGCTACCAAATACAAACTTCGAGCCTTCGAGGATCTCGCCGGGCAGCCGAGCACAGGCCACCGGCTGTCATAAACTGTCACAAACGATTCACGGTATTTCGACACATGGCGACGAGTAACATAGACGTGATTCTGAGCCAGCTGGGATGGCAGGATGGCTTCCGAATTCCCATAGCTAACGAGGAGAACAAACGTCTGGAGGAAGAAGTAAAGCGACTCGGAGATTTACTTCGACTAAATCTTCAACTTCTCGATCAAGCTGCGATTGACTCAATCGGCGATTAATTCAATCGGCAGGATTGCTCACAGCAAAATTTCTATACGATTCGTTATTCCTAATCTAATCTTTCTTTCCAAATGTAAAAAAAAAATAATTCTATTTGTGCTAACAAAATACTATTATTCTTTAATGAGTTAATCGCCGTTTAAGTTAGTCGGAA